AAGACAAAACCAGTAATGTTTAATGATGCGTTGATAATGCATTTGAATCCAAGTAGCATGTATTGTCAAAGTGTGTCTGGTAAAGGACTTTGAACTCAGTTTAAACATATGGCCAGCTTTGAAGGTTTACATCTTATCCAGGAAATTTCTGGATCCTTTAAACCGTAGTACCTAATACTGTAGCAGAATTCAAGTCAGTCTTCTTACTCATAAATACAATTTAAGTATCAGTGCTTAAGAACTGAATGCTATGTTCCTTCTACCGGAGTCCAATACTCTCTGACCAGGTTCTTTTAGGTGTCCCACATGAGAAGTATTTAATATTTAATATCAAATATACTGTAACATGTATGATGTTACTTAGAATTTTGCATTAGCAGAGTGATGCAACAATATACTGAAATCACAATACAAGCACAATGTAGTAGTTGCAATATACAATTATATTACAGTAGAAATGTGATTCCTGTTACTGGACTGTGTGTGCTTACTGTCATGTGATTGAAAGTGAATCAGATAATTATAGTTTTATGTTAAGCAATACTGAATTCCTTGAAAGAGCACTTGTATTTCAGGCTAAATGTAGCATTTGCACTAGAACATGGTGTTGTGTGAGATATTTATTTTTTGTAGCTGTAGCAGTGGCCTCAACTTTAAAGACAATATTTGTTTCCGTGGTAGTAATTACTATATCTAAAGTGGAGTGTTGTTATTAAGATGGAGATTAAACAACAGGAATAGATCAGCTGAAGACTGTAAAGATTGTTCTTTGAGGATTTGTCAGTGTGTCTATGTGTTATGCATGAGCGTGCAGTCTCTTGAACAGTGCTGTCAATTGAGGTGCAAATGTAAATTAAATTTCCTTGTCATGGTTAGCAGGTTCAACTCCTATATTTTTCTTTTATTCTCTCTGACATCAAGATGTATTCTGTACTATAGTTGAGTTGAAGTTTCTGTATGAAAGAATATTGAGAATGTATTACACGCTTTTGTCTTGATTAACTCTTAATTTGGAATGTAAGTTTCATGCTGAAAAGCTGAAAAAAGCAAATGGCACATCAGAGTTCACACAAGAGAATTCTGTTGCACATCTCTGCAGAGTCCTGTTCATGTACTTACTGTCAGTGAACTGTGAGAAAGTGTCAGAAACTTGATCTGGGTTACAGCAGACATGGAAGTCAAGATAGATTCCCTAGCTCCATTTCATGTGCTGTGTGAAGAAAATGCTCTTCATAGATGTATATTATGTTTCATATCACTGCATCAGCTGACCTGAATCTTTCAAATTGCCTGTCTTAGGCCATTGGTAGCTGCTCTTAGAGCAAGGTCAGGTTATCACAATGAAAGTTTGACTGAATAATGACACGTCATAGAGTGTTTTTGGTTAGCAGCATTGCATAAGTGACTATTCATCAAAACTTGCTCTACCAGCACTGAGACAGCATTCTCAGGCTCTTTCAGAAAAATGCCAATATGTGAAACATTGTGTTTGTAGAGCTTCTTGAAACATTACATACTGATCTTATAAAAGAGATGTTTGATTTTTGGGGAGGCAGTGTGTGAGTTTCTTTTACTGTGGGAACAGATGCTTCCTCTACAATTTTTGCAGGTTTTGAGTACTGGGATTTGGCACTGATACACAATTGAACTGGAAAGTATGCCTGCTTATGACAGTGGAGTTTCTAGATCTTTCAGTCAGTATGGACACCACAAATAGTTCTCTATTCTTAGTCTGAGAATCCTCAGTTAAAGTGGATTTCGAATGGAGCCAATTGGATGGTGCAGTTGCCTTGTGTCCTTCTAACAGACACATCTGATCAAAGAAACACTGAGCTCACCTGAGGCACCTGAATATCTGCCCTGAAACCTCATGCATCAATGGGAGTTGGGAAAGTAAATTTGTTTTAGGCTAAGTCACTGATTGCTCTTCAGCTAAGTAGTAAGTAGTGAAAGAAGTCAGTAAAGACAATAAGAGGAAGTGAGAAGTACTGGATAAACAGAAAAAAAGTAGTCTAAAAATTCCCCAAGTTTTCCAAGGTTTTTTGGGACATAAATAAGACTTTAATATTATCAAATGGACGAGTGGAGAAAGGCTATGAACTGTGCTAAGGCAGCAGTGTTTCTTACATCAAGTGATTATATACTCTATGCTTTCTCTCAAGCAGTTGGTGAACTGTGGGTTTTTTGTTTGTTTTTATTACCTGTTGTGGATAACCAGATTCTCAGTTTTTATTAATTGTGCATAACTTCTCTGACTACATGGAAACCAGGAAACTCCACCTATACTGCCAGAGAAGCTAATCTGGAAAATCTTACTTGCACTGATATTGGTGCACTTTGGAAAAAAGCACACAAAGTGCAACTGCCCAGGTTCTACTAGTGTAGAATATTTATAGAGAAGATTCCATATTCTGCCTGGTGAGGAAGTTGTTTAAAGCAGCATTGTTGTCATATTCTGTCATGGGAGTCATGTACTCTGTAACTTTTTTTTTTTTAAATATCAATTTCTTTGACATTTGATTATTTCAGTGGATGGGTTGGTGAATGTTGATTATAAGGAGATAAATTATTATTTCTGAAGCCCTTGAAAGGTGACGACTTATGCTCAAGGTTGCTTAGGAAATTCCTGAGGAGAACTGAAATTCACTAGCCATACACAGTAGTGATAACAGGATCAAACAAAGCTTGATCCTTAAGAACATCTATTCTGTCTACTCTTAATTTTGTATCTCATTAGTGTAACATTCCTTTAAAAAGTACTGGGTTAGGCAGTCTCCCTCTGAAAGGAGGAGGGATATTTTTCCTTTTCAGTCATACCTCAGAGGAGGTAGAAGGCAGAATTAGAGATGATAGAGATGGGGGTAAATGAGTGTTTGCTTCTAGTCAATAGCAAATTGGAATAGTTGTTCTAATCATAAAGTAAAGAAGAAAACAAATTTACTAAGATACTGGTTAATTTTTTTGAGATTGTGAAAGATGCAGTCTGGTACATATGTGTATGACAATTTGTCCCTGGCTTCATTTGGAATGAGGTTTGAGAATAAATGCAAAACTCTTGAAAGCAACAAAATGCTGCTAAATGCCAGCTGTCTCCTGCATTCTTTTCAACTTCTTAGTTGGGGAAGGATTTGTAAAGATCACACAACAGGGAACTGAAGTTATGGGGTTTATATGCATATAAGATATAAATATTGTTCTCAACAAAAGCAGAACCAATATAGTGATGAACTCAGCAATCAACTGTAGACAGTGGAAAGCCAGAACACTGACTGAGGGAACTAGAGTTATCATCCTAGAATGGGTTCCAGGACTGGAAATTGGAGGATAGGTTTTTGAATAAAGGAGAGCATAAGAGGCTGAGGTTCAAGGTGAGGCTTCAACTCTCATGGAGGAATTATTCAGCAGTGATAAGGATATCAGTTTCGAAGAAGTGGATAATAGATATGGAAGATGTTACAAACCTGCACAACAAATTTTGTGTGCCTCTTTATTTTCTTCATAAAGCACAATCAAGCTCTGTAAGTTTACAAATATAATGAAAGTATTTAAAATAATGGCAGTATAAGCTCCTGAAAGTAAACAATGGGAAAGGAAGAATGAAAAAAAAGTCAGTAAAGCTAAATCATGAGACTGTTCTGTAAGGGAAAATTTAAATAGATAGAAACGGAACTAGAGGAATAGATTTCAGAGCTTTTTGTTTTACAGTTCTTTAAAATTGCAAGCAATAGAAAAAATGATTGGACACAATATTTTTAACTAAAAGCTTTGTTAAGCTTTTCACTTGAAAAACAAGTAATTAAAAAAACTATAAAAGTAATGCTGGCATTTTACATGTTCATCTTTTCCTTCTGTTCAGCTATTTCTTCACTGGTGTTCTTTTGAAGCTAAGTTATTCACCACAGAGCTCTGGTGCTGAATATTGACAGCTTTTTTTTCAGCTGGAAAAATCCTTCTACCTGCATTATTGGCAAATATTTGTTGAATTGATATTAGTTCTCTAGAGAAACTATAGAAATGGATTAAAATTCACATACAGAATATATTAATTAATTTATTTTTACTACATTTGGCTTGCTTGTAGACAAATATTTTAGTCAATATTTTACTCAATGATAAAATATTGTCAGCTTTATAGTGGTTCTGTAGCAATGTGTGACAATTTATCATAGGAGACCCATAAAGCTACTGCATTTTCATAAAGTGAAGGTGGCAGTCACGGGCTGAAGGAATGTGATGAGTCAGCTTAATGTACTTCATTAAATATTCCTCTTTTGTTGGAATTTTCTTCTTCTAAACTAAACAATTTTTCTTAAATACGTCATTAGAAGGGAACTATATGCTATAGACTTTTTTTTTATCTGAAAGTTTTATTCAAAACTTTTCACATTTTCCTTTCCACGTTCAAGTTATGATTATTTTAATTGACACCTACATGTCTTCTCATTGAGTGTGAAAGATTTAATAGGCACTGTCCTGCCTGTTAAATGCATATCCTGGTAATTCTTTTGAGATTGTAATTGTTCCGGTACTCCCTGGCTATTAAGTTTGCCTCTTTTTCCCCTTTGGAAAGTAAGTATTAGTCTCCATAACGAGTTGTGAGGTGACATTCTGTGTGAAGAGTGATTTGTGTGGTGCTGCTTGGGCAGGAATGCAACATGTTCCATCCATAAGGAATTTAAGACGGAGTGCATGGAGTGATAGGAGATAGAGGTTGGAGGGATTAAGTAGTGGGAGAGTGAGACGTAATGTTGTGGATATGAATACAAATTGTAAACAGTAGAGCTAGTGGCATACTTTCTTATGCTGTATGTGGAGCAGTCAGCTCATGACAGAGGTGTCAAAGCACTTAATTGTGCACTTGTCCTGACACAACATTCTTTTAGACTTCTGCATCTGTGTTGCCACACAGGCTTCGTATAACACTTTGTTAGTGCACGACAGACTCATTGTTTATCTTCATTCCATGACTACAATATAACCAATTGTTTGTTTTCTTTAAGAACTGCCTGAGACTACCTTAATTGAAGAGAAGGTTCAAGAGACAGAGGCATGGGCCAGGCCTCTGGTCTACCTTTGGCAGACGAGAGAACCCAATTTCAGTGCTGAAAAAGAATACAATGCAGCTTGTGCAAAAAAGGAACCTCACTGTGCCATTTGTACTCTTCTCATGCCATACTCTAAGGTAAGCAAGATTCTTGCAGCTCCATCTCTGGGTGAAGCGTTAAATAACTGGCTGGCTACTGATGCCTGCTTAGCTGGTGTTACAAAAAATTCAGGAGCCGTTTAGCTGGGGTGAGATAAGAAAGGGATTTAATTATGCCAAGGCAATAGATGTTACGACGCGCGCGCGCGCGCCGGGCTGTGCCCGGGATGTTACATTTATAACAATATTTGGCCAATCCTAAGTGTGTCCACCCTATAACTTTTGGCCTGGTCCACCCCCTGGCCCGCCTCTCGAAATTGGGTCTGGGGTGCTTTTTGGGACCCCCTCTTCATCATCTTCCTCATCTTCAGCGTACAGAGAGCAGGGTGACCCAGTTCTTTGACTCTGTCCTGCGGTTTAGGCCAAGATACAAGCGTTCTCCAAACAAGACAGGTTTGCCTTGACTAAGAGACTAAACATCATCTGCTGGATATGGGGGTATGGAATGGGGTGAGATGATTAAGGAATGTATAAACTAAAGGGTACTATGGGGAGGAGGGAGAAAGGGTTTCTAAAATCTACTTCTATTACCTATAAAACTTATAAGGTAGAAAAATAAGAAAATCATTATGGGCTTAAGGCATCACTACTTAATTTCCAGTAAATTATAAACCAGATAAGCTTATGCATTTCATTTGTAAGAGAGGTAAATAAACTCAAAATTGTTAAATCTAGAACTGGTACTCTGTTCCGCTGCATCTCCCCTTGGTTGCAGACAGTGTATGCCTTTACTACCATTTATGCAAGATTGATGTTACTGTGTGTGTGCTTGCCCTTGAAATTTCAGTTTTTGAGGTGGTGAACTCTAATAGGTTTGCATCTTTTAGCTATTTCCTTAAATGCCCATCTTCAAATACTTTTTATGAGAACCTCTTTTATGTTGCCTTCCTTCAGTGTTGAAGAAGTGTTTTCACAGTACTTAGGCCTTCTTGGGAAAAGTATTACCACAGAAACAGTCTAATGCAGAGCACTGTTTGATAATGGCTTGTGGAATTAATGTGTCAAATGTCAACTAAAAATGCTATCGTAGTATACTATATTACTAATTCTGAAGCTGCTAAGCTGGAATTTCCTCAGCATGGGAACCAGGAAAAAAACATTGCACTGGACCGAGTTCAAGGGCTCAAGAGATACAGTATCATTGAACACCACTGCAATAACAGTAGTTTGCAGACTGAATTCTATTCTAGAGTTCACAGTTATTTTGAACAATCAAGGTAGAATGGCTGTGATAAATACCTAGAAGTAGGTAATTTTCTCATGAAACTGTTATACTGTTGATGCAGAAGTTGGGAGGGGAGGATAAGTTTCGTCATAATCAAAAGGAACAGTAAAACTCTCCTTTCTTTTACTTAAACATAAATTTTGTTTATTTTCCAGCCAGACAATCATGATGAAGAAGGTCCTACTTTCAGGGAAGCAAACTCAGCAGAAACACTGATGGCAGAAAATGAAAAGACTAAACCTCTTATTCCGGAGATGTGTTTTATTTATAGTGAAGAAAACACTGAAAACTATCCATCAAATGCCTTTATTGAAGAAGATGGAACAAGTCTTCTGATTTCCTGTGCAAAGTGTTGCGTACGGGTTCATGCAAGTAAATAATCTAATGGTTCTGTTGGCAGAAATGTAGTTTCAGATTTTCTTTTATTGATAAATAATAGTTATCTAGGCTTCTAGCATGGCTCTAAAAGTACTTGGCAAACATTTCCATATGTAATGCTTCAATCACTGTCCAATTTTTTTTTAAAAATACATTAGATTTTCTATTACTTTTTAATGGTTTCTGTGAAAATATTGAAGAATTAACTTTCCTGGAAACTTTCAATAATCACAAACTTCTGATTCTTGTTTCTATTCTGATCAACTAAATTACTCTTTTGCTTCTCATATTTTAAGCCACTGTGTGATGTTACTATGCCCTTCCTAAGTACTCAGGGTAAAATTCTGCTGGAGAACTTGAGAATATTCCTATTAACTTTATGTAGTAATTTCCTTCACCTTACATTCTTTTTTATTGCAAGAGTTACTGATAAATGCATGGACTTACTGCAGTAACTTCTAAAGGCAGTAGAACTTGAATAGGTAACTCTGATGTCCGTATGATATTCAGAAATGTGGTATAATTGCATAGGTGTCAATATATTAAGTAAAATTTTTACTGCAGGGAGAATTCAGGATTTGCTGTTGTACTGACAGAACTAAGAAATACCCTGTGATTTGGGGTTTTGGGTGTTTGGGGATTTTGTTGTTTGTTTTGGTTTTTAGTTTGGCTTTGGCTTTGTGGGGTTTTTTTGTTTGGTGAGGATTTTTGTGGTTTTTTTTGTTTTGGGCTTGGTTTTTTTTTGTGTTTTTTTGAGTTTTGGGAAGATATGTTTCATAGACTATGGAATTAGCAGACAGCCTGGATTGGAAAAGTCTTCTTTGTCCCAGGACATGTGCTCTACTATTGTTTATATACAGTTGAAGTGTATGATGTTATTAATAGAAAGAATATAATAATCAATACAGCTCTCTTGTTCTAGGTTGCTATGGTATTCCTTCTCAAGAAATCCATAATGAATGGTTGTGTTCACGATGCAGAAAAGAGGCCTGGACAGCTGTAAGTTTCATGTGTTGCTTAGCTATCTAAAACATTAGAAATTAAGGGGAGGGGAAAAAAGTAGCACATGCATTATTTCATGTGGAATGCAGCCTGCATATTTTTTCTGAACACTCTTGCTGGAGAAAACTTATTTGTAAAATAAGATGAGATTTCAATGTAAAATGTAATGGCATTTTTATAGACAAAATTGGAATAGTTTTATAGACTCATGAAAAAGATTGGCTAACAGAATATAGTTGTGTGAAAAACGTTCAAGGAAAGAACTGAAAATTAAGATGCGCATAAGAGAGAGAAAAAAATGAGCTTTCTCATAAATAGGTATAATCCAATTTTCATCTTTCATTGTTTACCTGAGTACCTTGTTACAGCTTCTTTATCAGATAGTCATGAGTTTCAGGATCTCCTGAAACATACTCGTGACTACTGTTCTAGAGTAAGGGGAAAGTTGATAGGAAAAGCAAAACTCTGTTCTAGCAAGTGACAGGTTGCTATGATCTCAGAATTTTATTATCAATTAAACCAACAGGGTCAGAAAGCCCCACTACTCTGTGAAAAAGTTTTGTTAATTTCTTTTCAGGGATGATACAGCTATGATTTGCAAGCATGGGAGTTCTAAGGAGAACCATTCTTATTCATGAAATACCATGTATGACAGCAATAGGACTGAATGCCATGTTCATGTAAAAAAACACTGAAAAATTTAGTATGTTGCCTTGGAACCTGATGTTAACTTATTAACGGAAATGCATTTGAGGGGAAATTTGGAGAGACTCTTTGTCTTTTGAGTATAGTATAGACGCCTGGTGGTCTAGTGGTTAGGATGCGGCGCTCTTACCGCCGCGGCCTGGGTTCGATTCCCGGTCAGGGATAGTCCCCTGGGCAGATGGAGCTCATTAGCCCTGTGAGGCCATCCATCTAAGAGAAGGTCACTCTAAACAAACCTACGTCCTGAGGACCTCACTGCCATTGTCCAAGCTTGCTTGGCCCCGGCAGATGAACCTTAGGATTAAAGGGTGGGCTCAGTTCAGCACATGCTGTGTCTCACCTAAAAGATCCATTGCGCAGGCTGGAAAGGTAAAAGACCTTTCCCAAAAATCTTCGTTCATGAAGGCTGGCCATACATACATTTTTTAAAAGCAAAAGTCACTAAAAAAAAGTAAACCAAAATTCAGTCTTATAATTTGTTAATGCTGTGTTGTAGAAAGGATTCTAAAATAGTTCTGGAGTTTAACAATATTTTACTACTATTCTTGAAGAGGACATTTAGATAGCATTGGAAAGTGAAAGATAAGAACAATAGTGAGGTGGCTGACTTGACTCACATTCAATATGGGTCAATAGTAGAGGAACTTGATAATATGATAGAAAAAAAATGTTGGGGAGAAGATCAAAGCTTAACTTGACTTGGCAAACTTTTTTGGGGAAAATTAACACCCATGGAAAACATTAGTTTGAGAAGAACTATTCATCATCATGGCTAGGCTTCGCGAACGAAGATTTGGGAAGGGCTCTACCCACTTTTCTTGCAAGCGCGTTGGTGGCTAAAAAGGCCAATACGAGAAAGGCAAGTCCGGTTGCAAAAGACACAGCAGAAAGACTCCTTAGAGGGTATATTCTGCAAGGCTCGATTCTTTCTGCGTTGTCTTTTCTCCTCAAGGGTGAATCTGCGTGCTTTCTCAAAAGCATCAGCAGCGTTATAAATGGTGTGTCTCCAGGCCTCCCGATTAGAGGCCAGAGTGGACCAGTTATGGTGATCAATATGCCCGAGGCTGAGTTGTTGCTTCAGGGAGTCCTTGTATCTTTTCTTCGGCGCTCCTCTCTTGCGGCAGCCGGAGGCAAGTTCACCATAGAGCAGGATCTTAGGGAGGTGGTGGTCCTTCATCCTGGAGACGTGCCCTGCCCAACGCAGCTGCGTTCTCAGTAACATGGCCTCAATACTTGTAATTGCTGCCTGTTCGAGAACTGATGTATTGGTCACATAATCTGACCAGTGGATGTTTAGGATTGTACGGAGGCAGCATTGATGGAAGCATTCTAGGAGACGCAGGTGGTGGCGGTAGATGACCCATGTTTCGGAACCATATAAAAGGGTAGACAGCTCTATGGCTCTGTAAACACTGATCTTGGTACTTTTCTTCAAGTGTTTATTACGCCATACTCGTTTATGGAGTTTTCCAAAGGCACTATATGCCTTCGCTAACCTATTGTCTATCTCCCCATCAATCTTACCATCTGAGGAGATGAGGCTGCCTAGGTAATTAAACTGTTGGACTGAATTGAGTTCTGATTGGCCGATGGTGATGTGGGGATGATGGAAGACTTCCTGAGGTGCAGGCTGATGGAGAATTTCTGTCTTCTTTAAGCTGACTTCCAGCCCAAAGAGCTCAGCAGCATCTGCAAAGCAGGATGTTAAACGCTGCAGAGCTGCTTCTGTGTGGGCAACAAGGGCAGCGTCATCAGCGTAAAGCAGCTCCCGGACAAGATGGTTTAAGGTCTTAGTGTGGGCCTTCAGTCGCCTTAGGTTGAATAGGCTTCCATCAGTACGATATTGAATGTAGATACCGTCCTGATCATTGAGGTCTGCCGTGGCCCTTTGGAGCATCATACTGAAAAAGACTGTGAATAGGGTAGGAGCGAGAACGCAGCCTTGTTTCACACCATTCTTTGTTAGAAAGGGCTCAGAAAGTGTGTTGCCATATCTGACTTGGCCGTGCTGATCCTCATGAAGTGAGATGATCATTTTAAGGAACTTGGGGGGACAACCTAAACGTTCCAAAATCTGCCACAGACCTTTTCTGCTCACAGTATCGAAAGCCTTGGTGAGGTCAACAAAGGTTACATAGAGACCTTTGTTCTGTTCCCTACACTTCTCTTGCAGTTGTCTGAGAACAAATATCATGTCTGTGGTGCTCCTGTTGGCTCTGAAGCCACACTGACTTTCAGGTAGAATTTCTTCTGCTATAGCGGGTATTAGTCTGTTCAGGAGTATTCTTGCCAAGATTTTGCCAGCAATGGAGAGCAGAGTAATACCACGGTAATTTGAGCAGTCTGATTTAGTACCTTTCTTCTTATACAAGGTGATGATGACTGCATCACGAAGGTCTGATGGTAGTTTGCCTAGTTCCCAACAGCGCACCACGAGCTCATGAAATTTAGCATGGAGTGCAAGGCCCCCATGTTTCCAGACTTCAGGTGGGATTCCATCAACCCCAGCTGCCTTGCCGATTTTCACCTGCTGTATGGCCTTGAGGGTTTCTCCTAAAGTGGGGGCAGTATCCAATTCGTATTTCACCAGTTGTTGTGTGATGGATTGAATTGCTGAATCTGGTACTACACGGTTGGTACTGAAAAGAGTCTGAAAGTGTTCAGACCATCTATTCAGGATGGAGGTTTGATCTGTCAGAAGTGTTTGACCATCTGCACTGAGTAGTGGGCATGTTTTACTGAATTTGCTTAGTTCTGTTCTGTTATGATGCATACAAGTTTCTGAAAATAAGAAAGATCTGAATTTTAGGGAAAGTAATTTTAGCCAAATTATTTGAGGAGATGAGATGAAGCAGTAGAGAGATATCAAAACCGTACAGAAAATAGCTGAGTGGAAATTTTATGTGATGAGGTTTTAGAATTGGATTTTTGCAAAAGCACACTCTAGGAACTGGAGAGAAGGCCCAGTGTATTCCTGTAATTTTATATCTTGGGTAACAAGAAGGTAATAGGGCTGAAATGGTGCACCATTCTCACCGTGCAAAGACTAGACAGTGTATGTTGGCAGTTTGGACAATTTATTTTATATAAGCTTTGCCTATTATATATTCAACTGTATTGCTGTGATTATATATGTATATTGATTACTGTACAGCTAAATCATTAGTGCTGACAACTTCATCTTTCTGTAGCTCTGTTTTGGTAACGTGAGTGAAATGAACTTGTAAAGTAAGAGAGCTCTTCGTACAGACATGTTTGTGGAAAAGAGTTCCATTCTTAATGCCTTAAGTAATTTTTAAGTTGGAAAGTTTTAATGAAATATCTGAGATTGAATATACCTCATTAGTATTACGTTTACTTACAAAGTTGTCCTCCAATCTGCTATCTTGTAGTCTTCATCATTAAATGCCATTCACATGTAAATGTGAACTGTTCATTTTCACCTGAAAGATGTAGGCGTGATAGATAGTAGGTATGTGTTACCTGAGTTAAATAGCAGAAATCCAGCTGTTTAAAGGATGTGAATAATGCTTTGTTATATACTTATACATGAATGATACACAATTCACTTTTTCTTTTTTAATAATAGTGTCTTTCAGAAGTCTTGAAATGCTGAAGCAATCTCAGAGCTATGTAGTGATTACTAGAGTTTGCAGAGCTTAGGTGAGGTGACATCAGCTTTTTAAAAAGGCAAGAAATGGATGACCTGAGGAAGTAGGTGGCAGTCAACCCATCAGGGATACCAGGAAAAATACTGATCGATCTATCAATTTCTAAAAACCCAGACAATAACAGAATACAAAGAGAGATATGTATTTAAGACAGATTGTGGGAATAAGGAATAAGCAAAAGATTTCATGAATCCTAACTTCTAGATGCTTTTGATAGTGTTTTAAATTCTGATGTAGCAGTAATGGAAGACATACAGTGAAAATTAATAGTTGCTAAATATATAGCAATATGGAATTCCTTTCAACCCTTAATATCTCAGGCCACCAGCCATCATTCTCATCAGACTCTTAAAAACATTGAGAGAATGATAAAGGTTTGGGCATTGTTTGCTAATTACTTTTCATGCCCTTAAGATATGTAGAAATCTAGACTGGTCTACTTTAAGCCATTTAAGATGATTGCACAGGAGCTGAAGGAGTATACTTCTTGTGAAGCTACGGAAGTGTTAAACTATATTGAAGAAATGGTATAAAATCATATGGAATTCAACAGAGATATATACAGTACAGTCGTCAGTTATGCACACGTAAGATGGGAATCTGTACCTAAGCAGTAGCTCT